GGTGCCCATCCCATGCCCATCCCATAAGTGGCTGCACAACCTAACTGCTTTAAATACGTGTATTTAAATGTAAATGTCGCATCGGATGTACTGAACAGTCAAAGGACAATATCTTAGAATATGTATGCAAAAGCATATGTACAGTACAGTCTGCGCATACCGCAGTGACATAGCAAGATGCTCCTATGAACAGTAGAAATGTATACTCACATGCCCCGCCATGTCAGACATCCTAACCTCATTTGCATAACTGCCAGAGCAATTATATTGCTCAATATGTATCAAAATCTAATGTCACGTTGGACATAATAAAAACACTGCTGAATCCGAACGCTGCACAAACTGTAAATGTAATACCACGTAACGCAGGTGTAACGTCATTTCTGAATAGTAATGTAAAGTCATATGCAATGTTGTATTGAATTACGTAACATAATATAGAAAATACTTACAGTACCGCATTATATACAAACACTGTCATAAATAAGCATCTATGTGCCTGTACAAAAATCTCACAGGTACAGCAGGACCTCTGCCTTGAGCACCTATAATGTCTATATATCAGGTCTGCCTGTACGCCATCCTGAAGTTCAATCACATAAAAGCAAGAGCAAATATATGCAATTTGCTCCTGACAATGTGTCTACAGAGTTGAATCTGCATAATGTAATTCGTAAACGTAATGTCAATAATGGTAATGTAATACCACTATTATCTCATACCTCATATATAATGTCAATGCCGTATCGCATAGTGTCTATATAAGACATGCAATGTCATAATTATGTAAATATGTATATGCACAGCACTATTTATACGTGCACTGAAGTAATTTAGTTGCAACCGCCTTCTGCACACATGTAGTGCATATGTACTAGCCCTGCATGAAAGCTCTCCCAAGTTCATTTGCGTAATTACAGGAATAATTATTATGTTCTATATGTACCTATATGCAATCTCTAGCCAACTTTAGATAAGGGTGGACGTGGTGCTGCACTGATTAATCTTTACGGCAAAGGGACAGTGCCCACGTCCACCGTCACTTATCACTTATCACCGACACGCAGGCGTGCCAGAGCATTGTTGCATTCTCTACCGACTGTCACGTATTTGTGCCAGTACCTTGGAACGTTTTTCAAACTATAATTTCTGCCACAAGATGGCCCTGTATGCCCATATGGATTCAGATACATGTACATTAGACTTTCTACTCGAAATGAGAGAAGCATGACTCACATACACGTGTTTTTGATTATATAAACAAACGGGGAACTAAATGTTTCCGAATGGCGTGATTTATGACGTCTCTTTTAAATCGCACTTTATTCGCACGTGGTAGTTGTTATTGTAAGTGGAAGTTTTATATGCGCTAAAGCGTTGAGTATTTCGGTTTACAGTTCAGTTTTTAGAAAATAATTAGATCTTGTTAGACATGAATTCTTTCTGTTTTTTACCGTTTCAATGTCGAAGCGTCGAAAATGTTTAACACAGCATGAAATAGCAGAAATGATGCAAAAATATTTCAGATATTGATTCTGAAATTATGATATTCTGATATTGATTCTAAAGAAGATTAACTGAAAAGACATTTTCCAAAACTTTGTTCAGAAGAGACTGATAAGAAAATGAGACGACGATGCTTCGTTTGTTCACATTCCCCGGAAAAATCCTCCAAAACGGCAAATGAGTTATTACGAGTTCAAGGAATGTAACGTAGGACAGTGTGTAGATCCCCCGTTTTCAAATTTTTCATACGAAAAGAGAATTTTTAAGTAATATATTTAGTTTTCAGATGTATAATGTTAAAAGTCATAAAATGGTGAGTAATTAAAATAAAATGTGTAAAATATGCATTTAAACAAGAAATAAGGTAATTAAAGTATATATATAAAAATATCTATAAAGCATAGGCCGTTTAAATACTCTATAGAGCATTATTAAACAATGCGTTGATACTTCGGAAATTTCATGGATTTAGGCTTAGTAGCAAAAAAGCCCCCGGCCCTGGAGAGACGCTCGCGGAAGACACTGCCGGCCTCCGCGATAAGCGCGCATTTTCGCTACCCGGCTCGAAGGGGTTAAGACTGATCCCTGAGGAACGCCCTGTCCCAATCTAAAAGGATCCGAGTAAGTCTTATTAAATTTAACTCTAATGGATCTCTAGTGCAGAAAAACAGCTATCCAAACCAAGGCAGAACTCTAAATGTTGAAAGTGTCGTTGATTTTAAAAATAAGTTTGTCTTTCCAGGCAGTATCAAAGGCCTTACATAAGTCCAGTAAGAATGCCACGGAATGTCAGGTTTTGGGCGTCCCTGATCTTTTGGCAAAAATAAAGCATTTGATCCGTGGTATTATACCCTTTTCTAAAACCATATTGTTCAGGTGGTAACAGATGATTGAGATCCATAAAGCAATGAAGTCTTGCAAGAATCATTTTTTCCATTAGTTTACAAGTCACACTGGTAAGTGCTATAGGTGTATAACTCTGAAGAGAGCTTGCTTCTTTGCCTTGTTTCCTGATAGGAATAACGGTGATCAACGGATGTAAAACCATCATAGCCTTACTACCAGCTAATTTTATTCTCCTCAGAAGATTACGAAATTCTTCGTCTTATCTACTGTTAACAGCTCTCATTACTGGCAATAGTTTATATGTTTGGACTAATCCAGAGATTCTGTCTTTCATGGGATACGCCTATGTCACTCCAAACCTACGAACATATATGACAAGCCTAGTACGTTGATTAGCATTTCAGTATCTATGGCAAATTTTTAATAGCATCTTATTAATTACTAATGATTAAACTGTTATCAGAAAATAGAAAATTTTTCTGAAATCATATTTTTAATAAAATAATGAATTAGCAATCGATTTTGTATTCGTTGAAGGAAAACTGGTAACTGGTGTTCCTTCGTACATTTCAAAATGCCGGTACAAATAAACTGATTTTTACAATCAACATGATAGTCAGTAAATTGAATGATATTTTCAAAATTTTATTATAAGCTTGTTGTTGAATGATTATGACAAACCGGTTATCTAAAAGTCTTCAAAGCATATTTAATTTTGTCTCGGATAGGTTATGATGCTCGGTACATTACGTGTGTGGTATTTATTGTCTATGTTTGACATTTCAACTTGTAATGACTTTATCAAAAAATAATTTGATTCTAGTCGAGGAATATCTGTATTGAAAATCTGTTCCTTCAATGATAAAATTATCGAAGTGCCTATTCATCGGACAAATAAGGTTACTGATTATTCTTACTTTAACAAAATAAATCAATGGATCTATTAAAATCCGTATGTTTTTGGACTTTAACGTGAATATTCTACTCAGCATCTGTTTCAACACAGTTTTGTCCAAAATGTACACTGAAGTGACAAAAGTCATGGGATACCTCCTAATATTTTGTCGGTCCTCCTTTTGCCCGGCGAAGTGCAGCAATTCGACGTGGCATGGACTCAACAAGTCGTTGGAAGTCTCCTGCAGGAATATTGAGCCATGCTGCCTCTATAGACGTCCATAATTGTGAAAGTGTTGACGGTGCAGGGTTTTGGGCACGAACTGACCTCTCGATGATGTCCCATAAATGTTCGATAGGATTCATGTCGGGCGATCTAGGTAGCCAGATCATTCGCTGGAATTGTCCAGAATGTTCTTCTGACAAATCGCGAACAATTGTGGCCCGGTGACATGGCGCATTGTCATCCATAAAAAATCCCATCGTTGTTTGAGTACGTGAAGTCCATGAATGGCTGCAAGTGATCTCCAAGTAGCTGAAGGTATCCATTTCCAGTCAATGATCGGTTCAGTTGCACCAGAGGACCGAGTCCATGCCATGTAAAAACAGCCCAGACCATTATGGAACCACCACCAGCTTGAACAGTGTCTTGATGACAACTTAGGTCCATGGCTTCGTGGGGTCTGCGCCACACTCGAACCCTACCATCAGCTCTTACCAACTGAAATCGTGACTCATCTGACCAAGCCACGGTTTTCCATTCGTTTAGGGACCAACCGATATGCTCACGAGCCCACGAGAGTCGCTGCAGGCGATGTAGTGCTGTCAGTAAAGGCACTCGAGTCGGTCTTCTGCTGGCATAGCCCAAGGAAGACAAATTTCGCCGCACTGTTCTATCGGACACGTCCCTCGTACGTCCGACATTGATTTCTGCGGTTATTTGACGTAGTGTTGCTTGTCTGTGAACACTGACAACTCTAAGCAGACGTAACTAATCTCGGTCATTAAGTGCAGGTGGTCGGCCACTGCGCTGTCCATGGTGGGATGTTATGCCTGAAATTAGATACTCTCGGCACACTCTTGACACTGTGGATCTCGGAATGTTGAATTCCCTAACGATATCCGAAATGGAATGACCCATGCGTCTAGCTCCAACTACCATTCCGCGTTCAAAGTCTGTTAATTCTCGTCATGTGGCCATAATCACGTCAAAGCTTCTTCACATGAATAACTTGAACACAAATGAAAGCCCTGCCAAAGCACTTCGCATTTATACATTTTCTACGCGATACTACTGCCATCTGTATATTTGCATATTGCTATCCCATGACTTTTGTCACTTCAGTGTATATCTTTCTATTTCAGTGAAGTTGACGAGCCCTTCCGAAATTTTTTAGAAGTAGAACATACAGAATCTGCCGCTTTGCTATTCATCTTTCTTCTCAGTTGATTTAAAAATGTTTTATATTCAGGGAATAGTGTCGTTTCCCTTTCGTAAAAATCTGATATTGTTACTGCTACCTCTCATATTGTATCGGAAGTATGCTTCTTTCTGCAAATAGTTTTTGGAAATCTGTACTGATAATTTGCCAGCTTCATTAGGAAAAGCACATTATGCAAGTGCTCTTTGACCTTGCATTGAGTTTGTCCCTGATGGATTCATGTAATCTGAAAACATTAGAATGCGCTAACCATTTCAGACTTTCAACATATTTGGTAGAACTTTAATATAAACTTTTAACTTTTTATTTCAGGCAAACGATCTTGCATTGGAGAATCTCTTGCCCAGATGGAGGTATTTCTTATCATTGCATCTTTGCTTCAAAATTTCACTTTACTACCAGGAGATGGCAATGGAACACTAAGAGCTATTCCAAGGAATTAATCATTGAGAGGTTTTATATAATACGAACAAGGAAAATCTGAATGGATTATCAAAAACGTTTCTGTAACAATGAATACTTCACCTAAATAAATAATACTCTGGAAACAAATTTTCATAAGTTATGAATGTCTTTTATGCAATAAAATTTACATTTCATTTGGGTTATATAATCTAATTATATGCTGTTTTTTTCGCCTAGAACAATGTAAATATTTGCGTCTTTTAAATGAATTTCATATATATAAATATTTATATCATATTTTGTGCTTATGAATGAGTTTGAAGATTTAAATGCTGAGTTTGTAAAGTAACTATTACAAAAAATTCCATTTAATAGAATTTTAGTTAAAAAATTATTTTATTTGAGAGAGTTTTAAAGTTAGGATAAATAATATCCACAATAATAATAATAATACCAAAATTTAAAAAAATTTTCTTTTTCTGTGTGCGTGTTATGCTATTCTAGACCTAGAATTACGAACTTTAGCACAAATATTATAAAGGTGGTGAAGGTGTGTATCATGAAATTCGATTTAATATAATTTTCCCTCCCGGGGCTTGACGTAGAGATTCAGCGAAGCTACTGCCTCAGTCTCGGCTACGGGGGCTATACAGATTATGAACCTATGGTTCTGGAGGCCCCAGAAAGATCATTCATTGGTCGACCCCAGGGTCTGGCAGTCCTAGAGCTTAGGGATCAAGGATCAAGGATCAAGGAAGTTCGTGTTACGGAGTTCTTAGGCATAAACGCCTTTACCTCCACATCTCTGAAGAATAAAATGTCATCATCAAAAGAGGGAATATTCTAATAAGGTAAAAATTTTTGTTAAGCCGAAAAAAGCTTTTAAGAATAAGTGCCTTCACACTGAAAACAAATAAAAAACTCAGAAGGTCTAATTTTGCGCCAAAATAAGAGCCAGAATAAATTAGATAGGGGCAGTCATCTTAGACAAAATTTTTGCTAAAGACTAGAAAATAAAAGCAGGTGTTTCCTTGATACTTGATCTTTCTTTGCGAACGTCAACTTCGCGGAGGGGGGGGAAAGGACGGGGGGACGCTCTTACGCGTCGAAAAAGTTGCTGTGTCAGTTGGTCAGCTGACGGAGGGAGCAGTTTCGTTTCCGCCCGCTATTCAGTGCGGTCTTTAAGGCCAAATGATTGACACCTCTTAAGGGGGTGCTAAAAGCAAGTAAAAGGCCCTTTTAGAAGGGCTGAAAGAGCTATTTTGAAGTAGAGAAGTAGTCAATTGACTGTAGATTTAAAAATCAAGTTCAGTCGCCTGCGACTGTAAAGCTTCTTCTTAAAGAAGCAGGAGGGGTTCCTCTGGTCAATGACTTAAGCATTCAAGACTCGAGAGGCGGAAAGGGGAAGGAACGAGAAGTAATTATTCACATGCATGTCAGTGGAAGCATACCTTGCTCGTTTAAATGGGTTTGCAGCATAATCTGGGTTGAGAACCGATCTCGGTCTCTTCCTAGATGAGGCGACTGCAGGATCATGTACAGGTAGCATATGCAGCACAGGATTTGCAACATGTTCAATATTTTTGAAAACGTTTTCCGAAAGTCGCTGTATAAAGCGATTAATGGGCATAATTTTGAGATCATTATGAATCTCTTCGTTCCTTATATACCACGGAGCTTTGAGTATTTGCCGAAGCAATTTAGATTGAAAAGTTTGGACATGTTTTCTGTTAGTCAGTGCTGATGGGCCCCAAATGGGGCATGCATAAGTCAGAACAGGCCTTATGATAGACTTGTAGAGCAAAATCTTGTTGTCAATTGACAGGTCGCTATTTAAAGCGAAGAAGGGGCGCAGATTGGATTTGACAGCCGTCGCATTCGCAATGATTTTTTGAATGTGAGGTTGCCAAGTTAATTTTGAATCAAGTAATACACCAAGATATTTATATGAAGAAACCCAGGGAATAGGTTCACCGAAGAGAATTAAGTTATCTAAACGGGGGATATTTCTTCGGATGAACAGAGTAGCAGCACATTTTGCGACATTGATTTTGATTTTATACAAACCGAGCCAGAGTTCTAAGGCTGAAAGGTAACTCTGTAATGTAGAGATTACCGTGAAGGTGTTGGAATGTTGTGCGATGATGATGGCTGTATCGTCCGCATATAAAGCAAGATCGATACTAGGGGCCTTAGGAATGTCATTTACGTAGAGGTTGAAAACTGAAGGCCCGACGAGACTGCCCTGTGGACAGCCGGCATAGATTGGGCGGGGAGTGGAGAATTCGTGGTTAACTCGCACACGGAAACTTCGTCCGGTCAAGTACGAGTTAATAATTTTAATGAAATGAGCCGAGAAACCAAGCCGCATGAGCTTGTAGATAAGTCCGTCATGCCAAACCCTATCAAAGGCTTTGGCTACGTCAAGATAGACGATACCAGTTTTCTCTCGCTTGCGAAAGCCTTCATGAATGAATTCCACTACACGTAATAACTGGTGTACAGTGGAGTGTTTAGGTCGGAAGCCGAATTGTTCCGGGATGATCAAATTTTGATCTCGACAGAATTCATTCAGGCGATTAAGCAAGACATACTCGTAGATTTTTGAGAGAGACGAGAGCAGACTAATTGGTCTGTAATTGACGGGTAAGTTTAAATTTTGTCCCGGTTTTGGAATGGGCACGACGCTGCTGCAGTTTTCCAACAGTCGGGAAAATAGCTTCTCCTGAGCATTAAATTAATAAGGACCGTAATCCAGACAATAAACATTACGGGGAAGTTTTTGATCATGCGATTCGAAATTGAATCTATGCCAGGGGCCTTGTCAGGTTTAATTTTATCAATGTAAACCATGACTTCAGTTGGATCAGTTGGCCTGAGGTCAGGCGTGAAAGGTTGTGATAGAAAGTCTTCAACCCGTGAATGGATGCGCCCCTGTGTAACCGGGCGGTTACAGTAGGAGTCGTTGTTTGGTGTGAATTGAGTAGCAAGGCTGTCAGCAATAGCTTCGGCCTTTTCTGAGTCTGTGTAGGCCATCTGTGCGCCATCGGCCGTTTCAAGGGGCGGAATGAGCTTGTAATGTTTGCGTAATCGGGCGGCTGCACGCCAAATCGATTTGTTTTCAGTCGTTAGGGACTCAATATAATTTTTCCACTCCGCTTGTTTTAATAAGCGGGTTTCAGTCCTTATCTCGTTTTGTATCTTGCGAAATTGGACGCGGATACTGGGATCGCGCGACCTTTGCCAGATTCTTCGCAAGTAGTTCCGCTGCTTAATTTTGAATTTAGTCTCAGGTGGGAGTCTAGCACCAGGGTGCTGAATAGGTTTTGAAGCCGCAGCTCTCGCTTCTTTAAGTAAAGACTTCCAGATTTTTAATCTGCCTGTCAAAGTCCGCATTGCTGGAAATTTGTATGGGAGGGAGTGCTGTGTTTTCCAAAATAAATCGAAAATCGTCCCAATTTGTTGAGACTCGCTCCTGTAATTTTGAGTAACGATTTTGAACATCTAAGGTTATCAAAATAGGATAGTGATCAGAGTCTAAATCTTGTATCACTTCAATTTCATGCCTAAAGAAAATATTATAGAAAGCAGCCAGATCGAGTACTGCAGGGGACCCTCTTACAGGGTAGTAAGTCGGGAGGGTAGGAGCTATGATCTGTACATGGTTACTCTGGCACCATGAATTTAGACTAATGCCATACCTGTTCCTGTTAGGACAAAACCATGCGGTATGACGTGAATTTAGATCGCCAGCAATGATCAGGTGATTTGAAATATTCAAAAGTTTGTCAAAATCACTGACAGGGAAAGAAGGCCTTCCACGTGCAGTTGATTGTGGAGGTAAGTAAGCTGAAACAATTGTGAGTGGGGGAGAATTTTGAAGGAAAATTTGGATAATAGTCGCTTCCAAAATATTTAAATCAGGGGACGGTATTATGTGATGTTTGATCGAATGTTTCACATAAATACAAGTGCCACCACTCGGATTTCTGCCTTGTGACACCCTGTCCGTCGAGTAAATGTCATAATTCCCAATTTTGGGAGTATTCCCTGAGTTTAGATGAGTCTCTTGGACTAAAAACACGTCAAGATCGTGTTCTACCACAAAGTCTCTTACTTCATGGATCTTGTTTTGAAGTCCATTGGCATTCCAGGAGCCAATGGTTAGTTCAGAGTTGGTAAATGAACTTTTTCTGACACAATTGAATGTTAGGCCGTTTAAAAAGATTTCCTGGCTGAAAAACAGAAGACATGGGTCTAATGAAGGTCGAAATTAATTTGAAAGCTCGATATAGCTTTCATATAAGTAAGTAAAAGGCCCTCATCAGAGCGTCTGCCTGCCTAAGCTTTGGCATAGCTCTTTTGAAGGCTTGGAGCAGAATATGCTTGTCTACCGTAGGGTCACGGGAGATTTCAATCAAGCATTTTAGTGTGGATGCGAAGACATCTTCGGAATCATTTGCACACTCTGCTGAGGTTAATACTGCTGGGGCTACAGGTTTTTCTGCGGCCGGCAGTCTTGGATTCTGAGCTCTGAATCCGTGCCCGGTGGCGTTCTTCACCGCCGTTGCATACGACGGTGGTGAGTTGACGTCGTTAGGGGGAGCAGGCATGAGACGTGCTTTAGTAGCTTGCGCTTGGGGCTTAGAAGAACCCTGAGGGTGGCTGTCTGAGCAGCTGCCCTATTTTTAAGCGTGGCTTTCTTTCCAAGAGACCGCTTATTAGCTGGGGGTGTCGAGGACAAGATTTATATGAGGTGGATGACTTCCACCACAGTTGCAGCAAGTTGCAGGTCCTTGGCCCCTTGGTGCAATCACGTGCCCAGTGGGGTCCAGAGCATCTCACACAACGGATTGGCAAAGTGCAGAGTTCCGAAGAATGGAAAAATCCCTGGCACCTAAAGCATTGAGTAGGGCCCTTTCGGCCGCGATAACGCTCAATGCTAACCTCTGTGCCCCACATGTCAGTGACGGCAAACAGTTGGTCGAGGAGGAAAGGGTGTGGGTGGGATGACTTGTACATAAACAAGTGGCATAGGATGTCTGGAGCCTGGCTGGTAAAGCCGAACGCAGCGATGCACTTTAAATCCCAGTGACTCGATTTCCTCTTTGACGTCCTCGACATCAGTTTCCACAGGGAGGCCTCTGACTACAATTTTGACTGGCCGGTCCTGTTTAAGATCAAAAGTTTTGAATTGGATGCC